TCACGGACATTAACACCTCCCGAGAAAAATTATCATATGCATTCCGGGAAGCTGGAATTCTTGGCCTTGAAATGGTCAATTTGTGAACGCTTCAGAGATTACCTTTACTATACCCCACATTTTGTTGTTTATACAGACAACAACCCCCTAACATATGTCCTCACAACAGCAAAGCTGAATGCAACAGGCCATCGCTGGGTTGGTGAATTGGCTGACTTCAACTTTACAATCAGGTATCGACCTGGGAAGAAGAATGCAGATGCTGACGGCCTGTCCAGGTTACACCTGGACATCAACCAGTACATGGCCCAGTGTACAGCAGAGGTAAAGCAGGATGTTATCAGGGCTGCCGTGGAGAGTGCAGTGTTGCAGAGACAGAATGTCTTCTGTGACACCACTGTAGTCAACCAGAGTGCCATCAGCCTAGTGCAAGATCCCACACCACTGTCTGCTGGAAAATTGCTCTCCCAAGAGGAAATCAGAGCAAGTCAGGAAAAAGACTCTGTGATTGGTTGTGTCCTGCGCTTCAAAGCTAATGACTATCTGCCAAAAGGTCGTGCTCTGAAAGCAGAACCACCCGATGTCAGAATCCTGCTGAGACAGTGGAACAGACTACATGTCAATGATGATGGAGTTCTCTACAGGAGAGCCAATGGCAGAGATCAGCTCGTGCTCCCCAAAGAACACCATGACACTGTCTTCAGAGAACTACACAAGGAAATGGGACACCTTGGGGCAGAAAGGACTCTGGGGCTGATAAGAGACAGGTTCTATTGGCCCAGAATGCAAAGTGATGTGGAGCATTTTGTGATGCATGCCTGTGAGTGTCTAAAGCGGAGACGACCAAGTAAGATCACCAGAGCACCACTGACCTCTATTACCACTACTTACCCTTTTGAACTTGTGTCAATAGACTTTTTACATCTTGAGACCTGCAAACATGGGTATGAGTACATCTTAGTGGTGATGGACCACTTTACACGTTTTGCACAGGCGTATGCAACAAAAAACAAGTCAGCAAAAACAGTGGTGGAAAAGGTCTTCAATCACTTTGCACTCACCTTTGGCTTTCCAGTTAGAATCCATCACGACATGGGAAGAGAGTTTGAGAACCAGATGTTTTCCCAGCTGCAAAAGGTCAGTGGTATGCGTGGATCCCACACAACTCCATATCANGACTGGGCATCTAGAACCATCACACTATTTGCCCAAGTTGCTGAACAGAACAGGTTATAAAAAAATAAATAAATAAATAAAAAAAAAGGTGATAAGACCTTTCAGGCTGCTCCACAGTGACCTCTTTCATCCCAGTAAAGGTGGGTCTCTGCCCAACAGGTTAACTGGGTATGCTGAGGATAACAGAATTACTGTGACACAGGATTTTCCTGTCTGTGGGTCAATTATTTTCAATGGTTCTGTGTGTTGTTCCACATGCAAGTTCCCATTTGCTGTTCTGACCAATACTTTTTCACCTGTGGCTTTCATTTTCGGAAATTCTTTTTGTTTTATCACAGTTGAGGCAGCACCTGAATCACAACAATGTCATTTGTTTGCCTCCCACATTTAGTTTTACATCTAGTTTTAGAATTTCAAATGCTGTTCCATAATGTGCTTCTATTTCAGTCAGCCTTTCAATTTCTGCATTACAGGAGTCATTTTCCTACTTCCACACCTTAGATTTTGTAATAGGCATGTGGTCGGTTAGTCACACGCTACTTTGTCCTTTGTGGCAATCTCTGGCATAATGGCCTGCTCTATTGCACTGATAGCATACGTCCTGTGACTGTGGTTTTCTTGGCCCTTGTCTTTGAGCTCTTCTACCTCTGCCTCTACCTCTACCCCTCCCGCTATAGTTTCCTGCAGGTCTGTCAGCCCAGTAAACAGTTGGTGGGGCTGAGGGCATGGCTGGAGCTTCACTATAGAATGTTTCAGGGTTTGTTGGTTGTTGATCTTTAACCTTTCAGCATATTGCAGCACATCGGCTAGTGAGCCTGTACGATGTGTTACCATATGTTTACGCACATAGTTAGCTATTTGGGGTTTAAGGCCCAATATGAATGCATTTTTTAACTGGTGCTCATAGGGGCCTGTTGGATCCGCAGCTGCAGGTGGCTTCAATCCACTATGTGCATTAAACACTTGTTGGAATCTCACTCTATATTTTTGAACTGGGTGGTTTTCAGTGATTTTGGTCCAGTCTGGGCGGGACTGGAATGTGTTTCTGTACGCTTTCAGGACCAGATCTATCGCTCCCTGTAAGGCAACGGATTTTGGGAGCATTGCAGGTCCTGCAGTGGTCATACCAGTATAAGTTCCTCGGACTTCTGGTCTCTAAATGGAGGCGTGGGTCTATACCAATCATGTCCGAGGAGGAGCATGAAAAGTCTTTGGACTTCAGCTCCATTCAAATGATAACTCTGCACTAGTCCTCTGACTCCTGTCTCCTACTCTGCCACCTTAACTTTGTGATTGGTTATGCCTTCAGCGGCTTTTTCCATATCATCTAATGTCCATGGAGGGAAAACGGTTCGTGGCTGGGGTTGTTCTACTGTCCCCTGGATTGGATTTGGAACTTGAATCATTGGGCATTGTAGAATTTCAGTTTGCTGTGGGTGAATTTGTGGTTGATCTTGAGCCCAAAACATTTCTTGCCCTGAAGGATCAGTAATATTGCCTATCTTTGATCTTGTGGGGCCCGATATTGACAAGCTTACTGGACCAACATTGCTCAGTATATTTGTAAATGTTGATGGACTGCTTGCCTAATCTAACAATTCTGGGTAAATGTGAGGGACAGGCAGAGCAATGGGGTAAGGTTGTGTCTGCACTTGTTTACTCGCCCCACAGCTCCCTCCTGTTGTTCGTTTTGTGGCGCTGGCTGATCTGCCTGCTCCTGCGCTGCAGCTAGGTGGGGGCGTCCCCTCACCTGGCTGACAGCGTTTATATCTTCCTTGTCCTCCAACAACATTTAGTCTCTCTGTTTTTGTCTCCTTTTTTTTCTTCTCTTTTTTCTCTACCTTCTTTTTGCTTCTTTGCTTGTTCTAGCCATTTATTTGCTTCCTGCCAGCCTTCATTTTTCTCTTACAAACTGATTTTTTTTATTTTTATTTTTTTCATTTTTCTTAATCTAGTTCACCTTCAAAAATGTATTTATTTTGCCATTTTTTCAGTGTTTTACTGATTTTAGATCGATCTGTTGCATGCATTTGGCATCTCCTGTAAGTTTACTCCAACAACATCCCATTTTATATATGGTATTTTTCTTTTCTTATTTTATTGTTTTATTTTATTGTTTTATTTGTCTCTACCCTCAACACTTCTTTAAACAGTACTGTTTATGATTATAGTCCTTCCAGACTTCTCAAAACAGCTTTAAGTCCTGTTATGACTCTCTTTATAACTTTTATTACAGTCTTATAGTCCTGTCCGACGAGTACGAGAGCCTCAGCTGTTGGATGTGGTTTCTTGTGATTCTGTTACAGGGCTCCGGACTAACTTTTCCAGTGGTAGCATGGTGCTACCAACTTTCCGCACTGGTCGCACCAGTGTGTGTTGTGCCTCTTTGTATTGTGTAATTTATCATGCATATATGTGTGGGGTCCTTCACAATGCTGGCGGCTTTTCAGGTACAGTGTGTGGTGTAAATGTTCTTGATGAAGGAGAAATAAATGTCTATACTGCAAACACATTCACAACCACAAAGTTTTAAACTATGCTGACGTTGGCATGGTGACTGCAGACAGTAGCAAGAAATTTGCCCAAATCTGCGGCCACCTCATGGACGGTCCTGCTAGCAGTCAGGATGATGCTTGGGGCCTGCACAAGGACAGCGTCTGGTTTCCTTGGAAGCATGGCGTTCATGAACTCTGCCCGTAACTCGGCAGCAGCTGCCCCCGGTGTGGTCATGACGCCAAAGGATAGCTTGCTTTCTGCCATCGCAGCAATCCCATCTGCAATGCTCCGCAGATGGGACACGTCGATGAGAAGAACAAACTGTAACGAAAACATTTGTCACAATGCAAATCATAATTCCAGCATTTTTCTATTATGTGCAACTGCTCAACAACTATAATACGTACTTGTCCGGCGCCTCGGCTGGAATGACCAACTTGTGGCTTCGTCCAGTCACAAGCGAAGTTGGCCATTTCCGCACAGCGTGGCGGTAACCAGTACCACAGCCTATTACAAAAAAACACAACACTGAAATATTGAACATCCATCCTTTACATGTCATACCGCATGAATTTCTGTCCATATGATATCATATCACACGTGACTGGCAAAAGACATGTAAAATAAAACTCTTCACAATATACAGTGTAATTTATGTACAACTTGGCTACTTACGTGCATGGCTGCCACTGGCAGGCTGCTGGGGTTAGACGTCCAGAGTACGTCGGATCTCCATCCACCTCCTGGCAGACAGGGAACATCGGTGGGCCTTGGCGCGTGGCATCTCTGAAAGTTTCAATACAGCAGGTTAATCACAGCTCCACACTAACATTATTTACTTGTAGCAAACGTGCCACCAACTGTCTTATTTGCTCGCACCTCTAACCTTCTCACTGACAAAACACTTCACTTGCTGAACATTTTAAGATAAGAAAATTCAGTATTGCTCCCCACACCAAGGGAAATTTCCATTGTTACAGCAGCAGCACTAAACATGTGCATACTATTACTACTACTACTACTACTACTACTACTACTGACAATAATAATAATAATAATAATAATAATAATAATAATATGTACGGGAATGAAAGATGACAATGAATAAATACAGTGTTCCTACACAGCACATGCAGTGTCCTTTGGAATAAATGCAAACGTAAAACTGCAAGATGCCAGCAGTCTAAAACTACACTATCGCTAGACACTACAGTTTACCAGTAGTCCCTAAACGTCACACATTGCAGGACTAGCTAGATGCTGCTTGGTAGCTACAGTGTACTCAAACAAGTGTGCGGCCACAAAATACTGTCAACTCTGTGATTTCAGCGGTTTCAATGTTACATTTCTCCAAAATAAAAACGGGTGTTTTTTTTCCTCTGCTTTTTTCATGAATGGAAAACGCACAGCATGTACATGCGTTCTACATTTGAAAACAAAACCGTATTTTCATTTCTACACGTGACAGTATATCCTTATATATCCTATGTATAACCTATCATAGCAAAAAGCTACAACCATTTCTGCAAATACCGTGCTCTTCATTTTGCCGTCCTACTCCTACTCTAACCATTCTAATTCCATGCACTGGTTTTTAGCTGCACTGCTTCTGTTGCTGTCTCTGCCTGACTCTGATCATCCAGTGTGTGTGTGTGTGTGTGTGTATGTGTGTCAGCCCTCTCTGTCATTTTGTTTGTACATTATCAGCCACAGATCGCTTTTTTGTGTGTTTTTTTTAACACTACAACTACACAGCAACTGTGACGCACCCCATGCACAGAGCCACAGAACTTCTACATATACTGCTTTCCACCACTATCCTTAATGCAGTAGCTGCCTTACAGCGCTACATATCTACTAAATGATAATCATTCACTCTCACCAGCGCCGTCGTTTAGGGGGGAAAGGTGTGAACGATTCTTGGGGCCCACAGCCCATTAGGGCCCATACGCACCCCAATAGACTCTATGACTAAATGATCATGTATATATATATATATAATATTACTAATGCATGTGAGCTCAAACAAAGTCGCATAATATTTTAGTTTTAATCATTCCAATTACCTCCTCTCCTCCAAAATGGTTTAGTCCACGGTTCGTTCTTCTTAGTTGGAATATATGAGCAAAGTCCCGCATTTGAGGAGGAAGATGATGTCAAAAAACAAAAATCTGGACACCAGAAACGAGTCGAGAGAGAGGTCAGGAGTAGGAACATCAGAGCAGGGGCCTAGAATATTTCACATTTCTTCTCCCGGAATGGTGAGAGCGCTGGCTGAAAAGTTTTCTGGTCATTCATTCATTGGCTGTAACCGCTAATCCCAGGTGGATTGCGGAGGCTGTAGCATCCGTTAGCTGACGTTTCACAGCATGGCTGGAACAATAAAATAGATGATTTAATTGTTCAGGTCGGTGGGGACTGAAAGCTGGAAGAACTGATGAACTAACACAAGCCACAACAGCAGGAGGACAGTGCTCAAACGCTCCAGCATTCACTCGGGACTTTATGTTACGACGAGGCTGTATTGAATTGTATTATGACGCGTTCAAGTTCTGCTCAGTAATTATGAACATTAGGCGAAGGTTACAACTCCGTTATGTGTTCATATGTAGTCTTGTAATTTTTGTGATTGATGGTATACTTGAATAACCTAAAAATAAATGTTCAAATATTTGTTGTTTTCACAGGAGGACATAGCTCAAAGGCTCCAGTATAAGCATTTACTTGGGACTTTATGTTATGACGAGGCTGCATACTACCACTTTGCAAAACAGAAAACACATTACGTGCATTACATCAGGCACTGACAAAAACACTGAAAAACATAATGCACAACACAGGTGCAATGCAATACAAAAAATAAAAAAAGTGGCAACAGTCTTGGGGTGGAGGGGCCCATGACGATATTCTTTCTGGGGGCCCAGAATTCCTAGCTACGGCCCTGACTCTCACGGATGTCCCTGCTAAAAATTTCTCCTCGCACAGACTCAAGAAAAGCACCATTTCATAGCTTCCATCATCACGACGTGGCTTTCACACAGGACACTGCAGCCGCTTTGGCCGTGCAGTGAAACCCATTCATTTCTAATACATGGACGGAGCTACAAAGCCGCGCTGCACAACTCTGCACAGCGCGGCGCTGGCGGAAAATTACAATTACAACCACTTGAATTAACCCTCTGCTAGCTGTGACGGTGATGCTGATAAAATGAGCCACTGAGCTACATAAGGTGGACAACATGCAACATGCTACAAATCAACTAAATTATTATCATTCACTCTCACGGATGCCACCGCTGCAAATTTCTCCTCACACACACTCAAAAAAAGCACCATTTCGCAGCAGCCCTCATCACTACACAGCTTTCACACAGGACACCGCAGCCACTTTGGCCGTGCTGTGAAACCTCTTCATTTCTATCACATGGACGGCGCTACAAAGTGTTGTCAGAAAATTACAATGCTCACCTTCAACATTGGCCGCTTAAATTAGCTCTCTGCGAGATGTGACGGCAATGCTAATAAAATGAGCTATTTAGCTACATAGGGTTGGTACCATGCAGAAAACACTACTACTGTGGCTCTCCATTCATCCATCCATCCATCCATCTTATCCCACTTATCCAGAGTCGGGTCGCAGAGGCAGCAGCCTTAGCAGAGCCGCCCAGACTTCCCGATCCGCACACACCTCCCCCAGTTCTTCCAGGGGGACCCCTAGGCGTTCCCAGGCCAGTCGAGAGACATAATCTCTCCAACGTGTCCTGGGTCTTCCTCGAGGCCTTGTACCAGTGGGACGCGCCTGGAACACCTCCCCAGGGAGGCATCCAGGAGGCATCCGAAAAAGATGCCCGAGCCACCTCAGCTGGCTCCTTTCGACATGAGGGAGCAGCGGCTCTACTCCGAGCTCCTCCCACCTGACTGAGCTCCTAACCCTATCTCTAAGGGAGCGCCCAGCCACCCTGTGGAGGAAACTCATTTCGGCCGCTTGTGTCCGCGATCTTTTTCTTTTGGTCATTACCCAGATCTCATGACCATAGGAGAGAGTTGGGACGTAGATTGACCGGTAAATCGAGAGCTTTGCTCCCTTGCTCAGCTCCCTCTTCACCATGACGGTCCAGTACAGCGACCGCAGCACTGCAGACGCTGCACCAGTCCGTCTGTCAATCTCACGCTCCATCCGCTCCTCACTCGTGAACAAGACCCCGAGATACTTGAACTCCTCCACTTGAGGCAAGGACTCTCCACCGACCTGGAGAGGGCAA